TTTGCCTATTTTTCTTAAAGATTTCCTTTTAAAGAAAGCTATGAATTGTTAGTAACTTTTTATAAGATGATGAGCCTATAAACTATAAGAAATTGTCATAAACAATGTGCATTAATCTAATGTTGAGATTATTTTGTGTTTTCTTTTCATATAACATATTTGACTTGTGGTTAAATGTTTTTCTAGAATTCGTATTTACATTATTGATGATATAGATAAGGAATTAAGGATATGTGGTTGGTCTTCATTTTGAGTTGTTAGGAATAGGGAGTGACATTGATGAGAGTTAAATTATGTAATAAATAGAGTAGTTTTGTTCCATTTGGAAGGTTATGGTATAAATGCGAGGCTCTATGTTGCAACTTGCATAGATGCATGTAGAGTAGAAGACTATGCATTATGCGAGGCTCGTTATATTGGTATTATAGCCCTTTTCAACATCAGTGTTAGTATAAGTGTTAGTATATGAAGACATTGACACTCACCTTCCTTCCATTTTCATCTTCCAAAATCTCCTTTTGTAGATAGGTTAAGCCTTCTTCAAGATCCGTGTTGTTTTGTTCTCTCTCCTTTGAATCATAGTAGTCATTCAGATCACTGATTTGGTACTTAACATTAGGGTTGACAATTCTCGACACGACCCGCGATATGACACGAAGTAAACGGGTTTGGGTTGAGTTTTTCTGACAGGTCGTGTTCGGGTTTGCAAATAAGTTTACGGGTTGACTTGTGAACTCGTTTATTTTATTAGATTAAAACATAAAATATGTATATTTATTAAATAAAGGTGAGAGTAAGGACTATTAAGTATGTGATGTTTAGACTTTTTCTCATGACCCACGAACCCAAATCTGACCCAAGAACCCGTATAATTAAACGGGTTAGACAGGTTGACCTATTTATGGCTAATCTAGGTTAGGGTTGAGCAAGACGACACGAATATTTATATGGGCCGTGTCCGGGTTGAGCTTTTATGACTCGCCAACCTGCCAACCCGAACTCAACACGATTATCACCCCTACTCAACATACACCTTTGAGCACGTAATATTCTACCACTAATAGAAAAACAACATTTTGAAGCTATGCTACTAGGACTTTATATTGACATGAATTTTCTTCTTCTTGCCACCATTTTAGTATATCTAAGTGTGTAAATTCTTCGACAGTTACATTAGAAGCGACAATTACATAAGAAGTGTAGTTGGTTCCTTTATAAAACTAAAAGTTTGTCTAAAGATGTTGATACTCTAACATTTTGATTGAGAATAGTCATTCAACCATTAGGTGTTGGTATTAAATAAACATGATGATTTCGAACAAGAACTAGTTTGATGAGTTGGTGATCTCAAGATAGAAATTCGTTATTCATGACTTGTATCTCCACTTGAGTATTCATTATCATATATTATATAATTTTCATTCTTCAAAATTTGTTATATCTTTGTTTTTATATCTGTTGTCTAGACTCAAAAGTTGACCGATATTAGTTACATTCTTGATTACACCTTTAAAAATTATATGTGGATTTAATCCTGAAGCATTATAAAAATCGGTGGAAAGTTTTCAAAATATTTTACGTGTGTTGCCATCATTTGAGAAAAACGTTAGATGTTGGAAAATAAATTTGTGATAACATAAACCTTTGTTGGTATAGCACTCCTAAAGTCCTATGTAACGACAAATGTCATCTTAGACAACATGGGGAATTTTTTCTAAACGCCTAATCATTAGGAAAAGAGGTAGGAAAAGAGCGTTCCACCTGGTCAGCATATTTGCGACCATTCTTGAAGGTCTTACTCCTTTCCTTTTGCAAAAACTTTTCCATCTTTTATCTTGAATAGGCCCATTTCTAAAAGTGGTCTCGTTTGATGTTCTAAAATTTGTGAGGTGAGTTCCATTATTGAAACACCATTTTGGATTGTCAAGTTGAAAATATGACGACGACAACATACATGATAAAATTTCCCATCACATGTTGGATTCAAAACTCGTTTCCTTCGATTAATAATGTTACCATGATTACTAGCATTGTGTTGCGTTATCAAAAGTATTTTATCATTTACTTTAAAAGTGGTTGTTAATCTCATTAAAACAATTTAGTCATGACACACGGACGTGCTTTATTCTATGTATTACAAAAAGTAATTATTGTTATCAACTTAAATGAAAAACGTTTTAGGGGTTGTTTGATAGTTAATGACTAGGTAAGATCTAATTGAGTCAGAGCCTGACTGGCAAAAGCTCTGATTACATCTGTCTATTACTGAAATCATATTGTTTGATTATGTATCTGACTGACTATGCTGAATGCTAAAAATGACTATTTTACCCTTCTGTTTTGTTTTGTGACGAATAAAATTCGTTACTTGGAACAGATGGTAGAAACTCCATTGTAGTATAGTGGATTAAAGTCTTGTTGATTGTTTACAAACTCTTTTAATTTTATCCAAAATCAAAATAAATTTTAGGTACTTCACATTTCTCATTATATGTAATCTCGTTGATTGACTTTACCTTTAACGGCTCTAACCTAAATCCAATTGATTTAGATCTTACACGAGTAAATTTGGTATGTGGGATTGTAATAACTCATCATCTTTAGAAAATTCACCCATCTGTTCAGACATTGTTTCCATTTGATTTATCAAATCATCTCTATGTGATAACAGCTTTGTAATATCTTCATGTAAACTTTCATTTTCAGCATCTAACTGTCTTTTCTTATCTTCAAACTGTTTTTGAAGCTTTTCACTTTCTAATTTCTTGATTTCCCAACAAGACTTTGATTCTCAATCTTGATTCTACATAGACAGACCCAAGTTAAAATAAAAATGTTCGAATGAAAGTAAACATAAAGCATACCAAGATCAATAGCCAACAGCATCCCTTCTTGTTCTAAACCCAAAACCCATTTCTACAAACCATTGATCAGGTTTGACATCGACAGATTAAACAGGACTAGCAACAAAATCTTGTTTGAGGTTGTAACAAAAAAAAATCAATTTATTGAGGTTACTATCATCAATTTCGACCCAATTAACCACACTCAAAACTACAGATACACTTAAATCACATCAAGATATAGAACATATGATATATATTCTTCAATTTCCATCTCATATTTATCCTTGATCGATTTCTTGACTGCCTAAGCTTGATGCTCTGTAGTTGTATAGAAAAATCGAGATTTATTCTTGAATGTGAAGCTTATTGCGTTGTAAGATATGTAGATGATTTTTAGGTTTAGGGTTAAAGGAAGATTACCGACCTGGTGGTGATTAATTTTGTTGGTGATGTTATCCCAAGTGGACGACAGCTGCGATGGTTGAGATTTCGGCGATGGAGCAGGTGGTCGGCGTTGGAGAGGAAGGTGGTGGAAGAGGTGGTCGGCGCTAGAGAGGAAGGCGGTGGAGGAGGTGGTCGGCGAGGCTAAAGTAGATCGAGAGGGAAAAGACGGAATGAAGTCCCAAAACGTAGGGGGTGTTTGGCTTGTCTTTTTGAGAGGCAAAAGTCATTTTTGTAAAAAAGATGTTTGGTAAAAACATTTTAAAAGCTACTTTTGGATTTTGGATATAAGAAAAACTGACTTTTTGGAAAAGTTAGGAAATCCTGACTTTTTATAACTTTTCCAAAAAGAACTTTTGTCTCTCAAAAAGACAAGGCAAACACCCCCGTAGAAGGAGAATCAGAAGGTTAAACAAGGGCAATGGAGTTTATTTTCTCAGTCAGCATCATTTTCTGGATGACTGGGTAGGAGGTGTTTAGACCAGCATCATTTTCTGGATGACTGGGTAGGAGGTGTTTAGACCGAGTAAGAGCTTCAAACGGTGCTATCAAACGCTCTGACTCGGACCGGGTTAAAGGTAACATGTCATCTTACTGGACTCAGTAAGAGGCTTATCAAACAAGGCCTTAGTATTTTGTTTTGGCAACCCTGTAAATAAACAAAATTTGTCTTTAAGGTAGCATTTGGTACCGGGACTACTGAATGGAACGGGATTGAACTGAACAAGACAGGACTTGACTGGACTAAAATGATCTATCTATATAGTGTTTGATAAGGCTAGGAATCGATGGAACAAGATTGTAAAATTACTAAATTAACCTTGTATTTATCAAAAAAATTATAAACCGTTTCCAATTTGCTTTCGGATATAATACTTGTAAGTGACGTTCTAGTAATATTATTAAAGAATACTTATATATAAACATTTTACACACACCTTTGTAGCATATTGGAATTCCCTTTGGCGGTTGTTATGGGGAATAGTTATACATCATTAATCTTATAAAGGAAAAGTGAATAAATATTAAAATGGGACATGGAAGATAATAATCTATAATCACAAATAAGAAATCAGATTAAAATAATAAAATATAAAAAGAGAGCATCAATGAAATTGATGTTGTATTCGCTGCTATTAATGAATTATTCTCTGCAATTTGAAGCCTCTTTGAAGAAACAATTGAAAATGTAAGAGATGAACAGAAATAAAAAGCGGTGGTAGAATAATAAACGAGGAAGAGAAGAAAAATATTTAAGGGTATTTTGTGTCAAATTGTTCTTGTTCCACCTTTTTTGGTGGAGCTAAAATCTAATAAAATAGTCTCATTTGACTTGGTCAACAACTACTTTTGTTCTTGTTCCATCCATACCAAGCGTCATCTGAAAGAGTCTTGTTTTGTCCTGTCCAGTCCCATACACCAAACGCTACCTAAAACCTATTTTGGACGGTTTATTTTCTTCATACATGATGTGAGACTCGTATCATTAATCTATTGGTTCAAGCCGGACTTAAAGTAGTAAAGGAGACTCTTGAACTATTGGGTGAAACGTTAAGAGTTATTTTCACAGAAAAATCACGTATAAACATAATATAGGTCTAGATGATTTTTGTGAAGATGTTTGTGCTCATGCTTTAGTTCCAAATTTTGACATATATCATCATCAAGTATTATAATGAAAATGAAGCAAACAAGCATAAACCAACACAACTAGTAGCCCTAACAAGCCTGTCAAGTCGGATGTAAAAAGTAAAAAGTAAAAACACAAGCAAAGTAACAGAACTTTGTCCAAGCCCAAAGTAAAACTAGTATCGATTGATCCATATGACATATGACAAGAAACAATCTGTGTTGATCAAAATGGGCTGCTCACTCAAAGTCACAGAAACAAAACAAACAAAAAAACAAAAAGTCCATTGACCGGTCAACCAACCAACGAATCAGCAGCTCCTCCTGGCCCACCATTGCAATGCATTGCTGGACTGGAACAGTTCCCTCCTAAACGCAAAAGCAAGTAACACCTGCAGACCTGCAAACATGTGGATTATATGATGATACTCTACTACTCTACCATTATCATCTTACATTGTTCATTCTTTTCATTCTTCTAAAATAAGCTATATCCAATCCATCATCCAAACAGATTCAGAAGGAGCTTGATTCCTCCTACTCCTTTACAGGTGCTTTCCCCTTCATCTTTGCCGCCACTTGTTCATCGGAAAGTGGTAGGTAGTAGATACGAGGGGTGGCTCTTGTCTTCCTAAACAGATCATCCAATGTAACAATCGGAGGATCAACTGGTGGTGCAGGTGCTGGTGGTGGAGGAAGGGCGGCAACCTCCCTTACCGGTGGCGGAGGTGGTGGAGGAAGCTGCTGTGGTTGTTTCTGAACATGTAGTCGAGGGGAGGGATGTTGCGGCTGCATGGCGGCTAGAGCTGGTGGAGGAGGAAGCTGCTGCTGCTGTTGTTTCTGAACGTGTAGTCGAGGAGAGGGCTGTGGTGGTTGCATGGTGGTGGCTGGAGGTGGTGGTGGCGGTGGGTCGACCCGATTCTTAACCTCTTGTGGATCCACAAAATCAGCCATCAGAAGGCGTCCACCATTCACTGGCCACTGTAGGTTGCATACAGCATTTCGAGTTTCTATTGCTTCTTCTGCAGATGCATACTACACCAAAAAAAAAACATTTATTTGACAAATAATCAAACATTTATTTTTTACTTAAACTATGAGTCAACAACTTACTGTAACATAACAATGGGTTTTGATATGATCCATCCAGAAACTGACAACTGTCCCTGTTTTCCCAAGAAGTTCGTGCACAGCTTTTAAAGTAAAAGGGCGCAAAAAATTATCAATTCGAAGAGAATTAGTTGGAATCTTTGATGAAGGTGGAACTGCATTCAAAAATCAAAACAAACAAAAAGATTTTAATATCAAAGTACATATATTTTTAATCCCAAATTACAAAGAATAAACAAAGCTGATAACATACCAATACGTTCTTTGGGTAATTCTTGATCAATTTTAGACTCGGATCTTGAAAATATGCGTTTAACTGGAGTCTGAATTGTATCTTTAGGAGTAGTAACAGCAGAATGATTATTAGTTAACTGTTGTTCAGAATTCCACCTTCGCCTCTTTACTACTTCACTGTTTTCTGCTAACACTGTAATCAAAGAAATTTATTAAATTCATGACCATTTTCTTTTTTGACTTAATGCAAAAAGAACAACTTAATTGCTAATGGGAGAAGAATAACTTACTGTGTGGTTTTCTTTTTGTGGATGTTACATCTTCAACAGGAGCAGAATTCTTGTCATCTACAACCATAACATCAACAGAATCATCTTCCTTTACTTCAATTTTCCCACTTATATCTCCAACTTCATTAGGAGTAAACTTTGAGTCAATCTGTTTGCTTTCTTGGACATCTTCCTCCATTGAATCATCACCAGAACTTCTGTCCAAATTCAACTTCTCTGAAGAGCCCACATCCCCACTATCACTTTTCTTGCAAATATCAACACTTTCATCAGTGATTTTGTCCTTAAGTGGTTCATCAACTTCTTCAACTGATACAACATTGGTTGACATTTTCACCACTTTAAGTTCAATAACTTGCTCTGACTTGACATCAGCAGCAATTACATTATCATTATCAATGTCAACTGGTTCTGATTTGCTACCATCTAAGACCATTTCAGGCTTAACATCTACCTCTGATTTCACATCATCAGCAATTACATTATCCTTTAGTTCATTCTTTTCAGAATTGGAGATAGTAGTATCAACAGAAATAGAATCAGAGATTACTTGGCTGACCTCGGTTACCTGGTTGCTGACCTCAGCTTGTTCTTCTTTAGGTGATTGAGATTCAGCCTTTGAATCCCCATTGTTTCCAACCACCTGTGACTCTTTCACATTAAACCCTTCATCTACAGTACCCTCAGAGACCAAAACAGTGGTTTCGGTGGTTGTTGTTACTGAAATCTCTTCAACTACCTGAAAAGATTCCACTTGTGTAGACACAATGCCACCTTCTTCACCTTCTGTAACCATTTTTTCAGCTAAACCATCATCAGCCTGAACCATATCCATTTCCATCTGAACACTTGTATTGCCATCTTTTTCCTTATCTAATCCCACATTATCTTTCTCTAAACCCTCATTACCATCTTTTTCCTTATTTAACTCCTTAACATCTTTCTCTAAGTCCTCATTCTTGCCCATGGTGTCATCCAAGGCATCAGTGGTATCCTCTGTAACAACTGGGACAGCTGTTGCATCATCAGAGTGGGACTCATTGTTTAGGTCATCCTCAAGGTTTCTCTTAGCATCATCTATTTCAGAACGAACTGCTTCATCCAACCTTTTAACCAGGTCTTCTTTCAATCCCTTTGTCATTAATTTCCGTTTCTTAAGTTCCTCTTTTAATTCAGTTACTTTCCATTGATCAAGGGGTCGATTTTCAAGGACAACATATGGTGAAGACACCGTTTTAGTATCAGACTTTTCTCCCATTTTTCCACACCTGAACCTTAAGATCAAACAAAGAAACAAAAATCATGTTGCAGAATGTAATTTCAACATACGAACATGAAATGATCAAATGATATAGATAACTTCCTTCATAAAACTAGAACAAGCCAATTTCTACATATAACCCTCATTCCTGGAAGGATAAACGATACGAATTCCCATCCGAAAACTTGTCGACGTAAATTAAACGAATAATATAAATGCAAGAATTAAATCGAGAGAGCGTGAAGTAGAGAACTTACAATGGTGGTCGACCAGACGAATCCTCGGAAGAATAACACTGATTTAGTAGGTCCCACACTTAATCGGTAGGTGCAAAAAGTGAAACCCTAGCACACAAAAACAACGATCAGGAAAATCTAGAACACCTAGAAAACCATCAAGAAATTAGCAACAGTAAAGAGGGAAAAAATCATGGATTAGGGCACGAATCGCGTTTCTGTTTCAAGTGCCTGTAAACAAAGAAATTGTTTTGGAAAAATAAAATAGATTGAAAAACTTTGAAAACAAAAACAGGATTTTTGCTATGGAATTAGGAGAAATGGTGTGCATAAGAAGCAGCTCTAAAATGGCGTTTGTTCGTTCTCCTAATGGAACGGAGAAGAATAGGGTAAGACGGAAGTAGTCGTATATCTCTATCTTATTTTATTTTTAGGGTTTTTGCGTCTACGTTTTGTGCGAAACGCGATGAGACTATTGGCACGGAATGCAAAGCACTCCGGTCACTCCAGACCCAAACCTATTTTATTTTTAAAAATATTTTATTTTCCTAATTTTATCAACAAATTGAGTAATCACAAAAACAACCATTCAAATTTTTGGATATGGAGAAATAATTTTGTTTTTTGTCTTCAGTTTTATCAAAATGACTACTGCAATAAATCACAATGGATGTTATTTGAATTTATTTCGAACTAAATTTATGTCATATTAAAAGTATTTTTATGATAAAAAAATACATTTTGGATTCAAATTTTGGACAAAAAAGTTATAAAAAATAAGTAACCTATAGAATTGTGTATTATTTGTTGTCATTTTATGATATTAGCCCATTTTCAAAAAAATGATTGATGCAGATGAGAAAAAAAAAACATTATATATCATTGGGAATTATGGTCATTTTAGCAAATCTTGAAAAGTTAAGTCATTTTTATATATCTCATAAAATATGTAGTCATTTTTGTAAATATCCCGATAAAAAAAATAATAAATCATATGATAATAAGATTGCAAGGGATAATAAATTTATATTTATATTTAAGTTCAATTTAAGTTTATAAAAACCGAATTTTAGAAAATGCTAACAAGTTTTATTGAATTACTAACTGATGTTTTTTAATAATTAGATATAGTTATTCATAAATATTTTTAAATTATTTTAATTTTCAAACCAAAGTTGGTTTTCTAGACTCGAACCTACTTAATAAGGATCATCAAATTATTGAATTTAGTTCAAATTTACCAAAAGGTCATTGACTTCAATTTTAGGTTCCATCGACTCTTTTGTGACCTTTAGATTAGTCATGTTGATTCCTTTTTTTTGGAACCATTGATATTTATAGAATTAGCAAGAAGCTAATGAGCGAAACATATTTAGAGCCAATAAAGGGTTTTGTTACCACTTAACCCCGTTGATATTAATTTTATGTTTTCTATGAACCAACCAACCAAATGAAAATTAGACAAGTCTAATATCATAATAATCAAATTCTTTCACAATTTAACTCATAAAACAATAACGAAAATATGACATGATAAAGTTATAAATACTTTAAGTGGAATTTTCAATAAAAGTTTGGAGATTAATCAAAACTTGCATACTTAAGAGTCAAGACTACAAACTAACCTAGTAAAATTAGTAATTGTTCTATTCAAGTATGAAAGGATTCAAAACAAAAGTTAAGACAAGCTATATATCAATTTTTTTGGTAATCTTAGAGACAAATCTACCATGATTAACACTACTCACTTTCGGTATCACTTTCATCCAAAGTAATATGGTTCACATTTCGTTCAAGAGGTGGAAGTCCATCATCCGATCCTTCATCTTCACTATCCACTTCATCACCTACCACTGTAAACAAAACAAACAGTGACAATGAATGAGACTTTGATTGTGTGTTAATGAGTAAGAACGGGTATATATATATATATATATATATATATATATATATATATATTATTTTGAATAAATTGATGTTTTGCAATCGGACAACCCAAGAATATTGGTTGCATAAACCAAAATCAGAAAATATAACGGTTTTAATCGACACTTTTTATAAAATTTTTGCATCGGGGGATGATACTTCTTCTAGCATTGCCCATTTTGCAATACTATTTAACCAATTAACTATTTATAAAACCAAGAAAAAGGGAAAAAAGAGTGGATGAATTTTGATTTTTAAAAAAGGAAAAGAAGAAAAGTTTATGAAAAATACCTTCTTCCTTTGGCACAGCCTTGGGAATTTTTGAAGTTTGCTCAGATAGCCATGAATTTTGCACATTAATAATCTCAGCACTATTCTCACATTTGGAATATGCCTTTAAAAGTTCCCTGAATTGCACAATTTTCACCATATGAAATACATGTATTCATAAGGTATCTGCAAATTCCATGTTTTAAAGGTGTTTTTGGTTTGTGGATTCCATCGGAATTGGAATTCAAGATTCCATTCAAATGACGTGTTTGGTTGCCAAATGGACGGAATTGAATTCCTTCAAATTCCATTTTTATAGATTTCACCATTCCTAGGGAGGGTTGGAATGAATCCAAAATTCCATTCTTTCTTTCTCTTTTATTAAAGGACAAAAATACCCTCATTTTATATATATTAGAAAAAATATAATAATAATAATACAGAAGGTAATTAAAATACCTGTTGAGGGACAAGAAAGAATGACCCCACTTGAACTTGCTTAGCAACAACTCCCCATTTTCTACCTCACCACTATTGGAGACATGCATTAAAAAAAAATGAAATTATAAACAAATATGTTAATGAGCTACATTATTGGCTTCATAAATTAGATGATTATAACATATTTATTCCAATAGGTTAACAACAAATCCATCAAATTTTCACTATAAATTTACAAATTATAACAACAAAGAAGATGATTAATGGTTATTCATGTTGTAAAACATGTGTTTTCACATAATCTTGACATGTTTTCCTCCATTTTACATTCAAAAAGTGTAATCAGTTTGATTTCCACTCTCTTATAGCATTAAAACCTTATTGACCCATAGTTGACTTCCTGATTCTCTCTTCAATTCTCTTGTTTTTCTTGAAAATTTTCAGTGTGTTTTAGAGATTGAGACTTTTGAGTACATGTAACCATAGATTTATTTTAAGTATATATAAAATTTTGAAGGGTAGTTACTTACCAAATATTTAAACCTGTATACGACTGTTTATCTGTAAGATATTAGTAAGAGTTTGAGCTCATGCTTAATTACTAAAATGGACACCATAGAAAGTTAGAAAGGGATAGAGGTAGTTACCATATGATTAAACCTGCAGATAAAGCCTCAACACAAGATAGCTCACAGGGTCGACCATAATTTACTGGATTTGCAGCCACCAACCATGGTACTGCATTTCAATTTGCAACCAATCTATCAATTTAGAACAAAGATAGCAACAATATTGAGTTTCATAGCTTGAAAAATCAGTGGAGATTTAAAAGGATTACTCGCATACTCCATGAGCATCCCACAACAAATGTCTATACTCTATATGTTCAGTTTAATAACAAATAAAAGTGTTTGAAGATCTTACATAAACGAGGAGCAGCACATTTTAGCTTTGTAAAAGGGACATCATCCAATCGTGCCCAAGAACAATCCACAACTGCTAAACCTTTCCTTTTTATCAGCTCTGAATCTTCCCTTGAGATGCACTGCTGTCCAACAGGACTATCACAAAGGAAAATTCATTAAGATAATCACAAAAACACTACATTTATATGTTTTCAACTAAATATTCAGATACCTTAATGCAATGCCTCCAAAACCATTTCCTACTCGCAACTCCTGCATAAAATTGTTCAATCATCAAATGGAAGTAATATAGGAAATCTAACAGTGTAAAAAATATGTATACACACACACACACACACATACTTTCAACAGGCCAAATCTAGCTAGTTTGCGCCCTGTACACCTTTTAACATCACACTGACCAAAATCCTGAAGCAACACAACTCAGTCATCAGAAAACATTACATATAATTCATTTGCAGAAAGAAAACTGTTTTGGAAAGGTGTACAAAGTATCTATTAAGTGAATGGATTTCAATTTGTGAATTTCCTGGGATGAAAATTTGAATCTGGACATAGTACTTGTTATGAAGTTTGATGTAGTAAACAATCTTCTTTGTAAGCCAACATTCTATTAGTTTTCAACTTACAATATATCTGTTTAACAAGTAAAGTAGAAATATTTGCAGCAAGCACAAAATCAAATATTGATTCTCATAGATAAACCTATGACTAATTCCAATCAGGTACATGAACATACCCACATGGCTAGCTGAATTTTGGATACCACCATACTTGACTCTTCTTCAGTTTCTGCAACATTAGTGAATATGTATCAAACTCTATTGAGCACAAAATACTCTCTTCTATGTAAACAATCATACTCAAAAGGGTTTGTAAGAAATTATTGGTGCTAAAAGATATACCTGGATCAGCAGGGAGAGATTCGTCTTCACTAAACAAAAGGTATGATTAAAAACAAGGGCAAAATTGTGAGATACACAATGAATTTGAAAAAAAAAAAAAAAACATATAAAGCTAGTAATCAAGAGTGAAATTACCGATTTAGTTGATTTGTCCGGCTGGATTGACCTTGTGCGTGATGATTTTTGAACTTCCTAGACTTATTGTGGCCCATTTCGATAACAACCGATAGGCCGTTGTACAGACTGCCTCAGTTCTGTTCTTAGGTCGCTACCCTTGAGACAGAGAATGGTGTCGCCGATAATGACTGCTTTGATGATCGACAATACTATACCTTATTTTTTTCTTAAACTTAAATTTTATTTTTATCTTTAAAAACCCCTGCGTATCTTTTCAATTTTTTTCATGATATTTTTATTTTATCATATGTTGGTAATCTTTGGATAATTGATTTTTTTTTTTTTGAAAAATCATAATTTTCCAAAAAAAAAAAAAAAAACTTATATTTGATGACATTATATGTTTGGAGTAACTTTTTGTTTCAGTAAGATTACGATAGGATTGTATAATCATATCGTAATTTACGATCTTATGATCGTTACTATTAAAAAGTTATAATATTTTTTGGACTAATTATGTAGAATATTCATTTGAATTGTTTACCGTTAAAAGATGTATTGTATATGTATTTTTTATGTTTCAAAATAATTGAATGTTTAACGGGTTATATATATATATATATATATATATATATATATATATATATATATATATATATATATATATATTAGATTGTATATGTGCTAGTTAATTTAGAAACTTAAGTTTCACATTAGGTAACTTAGATGAAATTGTATAACAAATTGTGTCAACATGTGTCACATATGCTAATTTGGAAATCGAAGGTTGTGTGTCTACTAACTTTTATGTAATCGTATCACAAATTGTTTCACAACTAGTGATTTGGAGACCGAAGGTTCTATGTCACTATCAAAGGTTCTACATTTGCTAACTAAATGTTTTACATATGCTAATTTGAAAATAAATAACAATGGTACATAATGATTTTTTTTCTCTTCTATTATAGATATTGCTATCAATGGGAATAGATTTCACTAACAATAATTAAATTGACTTAACTTCCCATAAGAATTTGTAGTTATAGTCATTTACCAGTTTTGCAACTTTCATAACAATAAGGTTTAAGTACCGGAATAACAACAAACTTTGAAATTCCAAACACACCTTAATTCTCAACTTTAGTCTTCAACTTGTATCAACATCTTCATTTCTTCACTTACACATGTTTGACAGTTAAACATAAATAATCATTTAAATAAATATAGTAAATGTAACGTCCCAAAATATCGAGTAAAATTTTCATTTTAAATAAGTCAAAATCATTCATACATTATCCCAAAAGATGATCAGAGCAAAAGTATTATCAAAACATCAGAGTAAAATCATAAACAATCATTGCAGAATAAATCTTCAGGTAATGCAGTGTGATCAATTCGGGCTCTTCTTTTAAAATCTGGAAGTACCTGAAAATGTTTAACACACATAACCGTAAGCACAAAGCTTAATAAGTTCTCCCCAAAATACCACATACAACATATATATATATATATATATATATATATATATATATATATATATATATATATAACAACACATAGTTGTGTCGGGTCTGTAACAACCATCCGGTCTGTATCAACCCCGAGTCCATAATGACTTCATATATAACAGTATGTAGCTGTGTCGGATCCGTAACAACCCCTAGGTCCGAATCAACCCCGAGTCAATAATGACTCCATATAACAGCATGCAGATGTGTCGGGTCTGTAACAACCCCCGAGGCTATTTCACCCCACATACATAAGCATACATGCATATCAACAAGAGTCACAAAGACAACAAGCACATACAGACATGTCAGCAAGTGTCACAAAGATAACTATCATCCTACAAACATAATCTAGTGGGCCAGCATTGGTGCCTTCGACCCACGGGTATAATGAAGAGACTTACTTGAACTACTCAATAGAAGCCCAACAGCTACCACAGCATTAGAACAGCCAACCGAAGCTTCCTAAAGCCAAACCGAAATCAACCCTTAGTCAAATACTCAATTCTACCCAAGTTTGACCATAAGTCAAACCTGTCAAAAAGTCAACGGTCAAAGCTAAGGTCAAAAATTACCAATAGCAGCCCTCCACGTCGTGGCCTAAATGCCCAAACAGTCGCTGATTCCCCAGTCGCCACACCGTGGCAACCAAAGGCCAGGTCGTGGGGACTAGTCTGAACAGCTCAAACAAGCTTAATCTATTTTTTTCTGATTTCAAGAGCTTCAAAGCTTATATCCGATTCTTTTTAAGGTCTTAATGAGTAAAGTTTCTAACTTTATCCATTAGGAAGTTTTAGACCACCAGGATCAAGACTTTAAGTCTCAAAAGGACCCAAAAACGCATCTTTTTCACCTAAATCCATTAAGTCCAAGACTCGAACCTTCATAACTGAATCAACATGATGTTTAGGTGGATAAAGTTTCCAACTTTATCCATAATAATGTCTAAAGTTTTCAAGATCTAAACTTTAATACACCAAAATGGCCTAAATAACCAAAATAACTTGCATGGTTGAAGGAGAAGGCAAAATATCCAAATTTTCCTAGTCCATAAGGTCCAAGAAAACATTCTAAACTGATCAAAATGTGTTGGAGTCCAAATTTGAAACATACAATGTTCTTGGGACCTTGGAGAGTAATAAAGTTGCAAACTTTATTCCCAACTCTCACTAAAAACTCATTAAAATGGACCAAAACACCAAATACACTTAGATCCAAAGATGAAATGCAATAAATCTTGGAACTTTATAACTTACAAAGGTCTATAAGGTAGATGAAAGTTGAGATCTTCAATTGCCAAGCTTCAAGGATCAATCTTGCATGAAAACATTGCTCCAAAACCACAATAAACTCCAAAAAATGGATGATAAAGGAGAGAGGAGGTTTAAGTCTTGAAAATGGAGGCTAGGGTTTCACCCAAGAGGTTCTAGATATGATGGATGCTAAGAAAATACCCTAAAACATGAATCCTTACCTTTAGATACCATGAAAACCCTAAAAAATTTGTGGGCTTCGGGCTGCACAATTCTCACGTCATGAGAATATATTCTCACCTCGTGAGGACTCTCACGCCGTGAGAATTACTTCTCACCCGACTTCACTCTAACTTCAAACAATCATAACTTCTTCGTTTCAAATCCGTTTTCGGCATTCTTTATATGCACAGGAAGGTATTGACGAGCCCCGCGACCTTATCTAATTACTTTTGACTTAAAACACCGAACTAAAATACTTAATTCATGAAAGAAGTCTGAAACATCAGATTTCCTATTTTACCCTTTGACTCCGAGACACAACCCAAAGATTTAATAACTTATCCAACATTATCATCATCCAATAAGGTCTAAACCCACTCCCTTGAAGCCCAATACCTTTACTTGATCCATTTATTGTCCACAATCCCGAAATAAGAAACTTCTCGAAACAGGATGTTACAACTCTCCCCTACTTAAATTGGATTTTGTCCTCAAAATCCGTCTTGGTTAGGATCTCTGAAAACAAAGCCAACATATTGCATAAGCTTCCTCTAACCACTTCGAAATCAATGCATCTTATAAATAAAACTCGAGGGACCACTCGGAAACCCACAGCTGCCAACAAACAACTCAAAACTTGAAAATTCTCAACCGCAACAACTATCTTTCTATCCTTAACTGTAAGATCCAAGTTCCAGTGAGAACCACTCAAACTGGAAACTCTCAAAACTACAACCACAAACCAACTCCATCAATATACTTCCCAGAACTGGGAACCCATCAGTCTAAACTTCATAAGCCATACCCTAAGTTTGATGATTATCCATTCGTCATACCTACCCTTAGTTCCCTGACTAAAAACACCATCAATCCATGCAGAAAGAATACTCAAGACATCATGATCGTGAATTTCACCCAACCCCAAATCTGGAAATTATGCCCAAAACCTTAAATACACACTTGACTTTCTGAAAAGTCATCACCAACCTGCTGCTCCTACGAGCATAATGATGGTCAATCCAAGAATCTCACGCTGCATCCAAATACCTCATCCATTCAGGTATGCATCCACCTGACAAATCACTCTCTACATTTATGAACGAACTTCATGACTCGAGATTTCAAAGCTGATACCCAACATTGGTAATAAAACTCCTAATAAACAACTCGCAAGAAAACAGGGTTCTTAATGTAATCATTTTGCAAGAGAATTCAGATGCACAATTAATACCCCAATAAAATTTTACTATCCACATGATCCAAACCAACTGGTCACTGAGTCTCCTGACTTCGAACAATGCACTAACACTCAAACAAACCAATAAGACTAACAGTATGAGACCTAAGAGTCTCAATCAAGTGACTATCGGGTCCTACACATATGAATCATACAGTTACTGGTTCACGATACATCGTGACACATTCTAACCACTAAAATGATAAGCTCATGGTACTATGTCAATAGTGTCGTCATTCCATCACTGGCTTGAAGACTCGTGACCAGCACCACATGGGTCTAAAGGTACTTCAACCATCAACCCACCGAACTGCAGTAACCCAATCAACATCCCTCTCAACACAATCTGAGCCTTACCTTTCTATAATGTATAATTCCTTTCACATCACAGGCTGCTACCAATGCAAAACTAGACGAAAACATGGTCGCACACGACCAGAGAATGAGATAGGTGATTACACTCTTATTCACATTCAAGAGCTATAAAACCAAGTAAGAACCATGTCAATAATTTCGAACCAAGTGCTCCTTTGTTATATTATTCAGTCCACATACACCCCTCCCGATTATATCTAATGAACTTATTATAATGTACACCCTCAAGAGGACCCAAAACCAACCCTAAATCTACTGCATTCTTTTTTCCTCACGACCTTACCCAAACGGTGAAGTACCAGTGGATCTAACAAAATGATGAACCTCAATCGTTAACAGAAACATCCTCATAAATGTCTGGAACAAGGTCCTACCCCTTGATTGAAACTGAACAAATTCCACCAACACGTAACTAGCTCGATAAAACTTCCAAAGTTATCCATAAATGTTGCTAAAACTCTGGTCAGATCAATTCAAATACCAATCATGTCGACAAGACATGCCAAAATTGGATTTCGCGCAGATCCAAAGCCACACATGAAAAAGTAAACAATACCGCTCTGACATCCAAACCCTCAATAACCAAGGATAGCTGC